TGTTTGGTTTTGTGACCAGGCTCTTACTGTATTATCTAGGCTGACCTTGTAGTCCTGAGTACATAAAAACCTCCTGCCTCAGCCTCTCCTGCATAGCTGAGAATATAGGCATGTGCTGCTGCATCCAGATTCTAATGTTTTATTTTAAATTTGTATCTCATGAACCAGGCATCTTGAAATCCCCTTACAAATTCACAGGTTTAGATAGGCCTTCCGATAAACATTCCTGGAGCGGCCCTTGTTAAAGGAAAAATTTTCCTCATATTCTCTTGGAAGAATTTTGGTAGTTTCAAAGCAAAAAGTATCTTGTCTGTCAAATAAAAATTGCATAAATTTTATGAAAGATGATAAAGAATGAAACAGTATCTCAAAGCCCAGGCTCTGTGCTAGAAAACTATGCTGAATACTAGCCTGTCACTGAGTAGCTCTGAGATTTTAAGAAAATTACATATCTTCTTTGTACAGCTTGCTGCCCATGAAACACGGAGAATGATACTAGTACCAGCTCAGGAAATTCTGCTAAAGATTAAACAACAATATACATAATTGTTGTGACACTTTTTTATAAATTGACAACTCTTGTCTTCTTCATTCAATGAAGGATGCAGATCTAGCTCCTTCATCTATGCCCAAATGTTTCAAATAAATTCCTGTTTTGTTCTTTTCCTTTCATAATAACACTGCTTGAGGGAGGAGAGGCAGTTTCAGACTATGCTCCAATTCTTTGTCTTTTTTTTTTTTTTTAGTGCAGGGTCTACAGGGTCTCAGTACACAGGTCAGACTTGTAGTGATTCTCCTGTTATCAGCTTCCCAAGTGCTGGGATTACATTAGCGCGCCACCACACCCAGTCTCTACAGGCCCCAGGGGCGGGGCTGGCACACCAGGTTGGGGATCAAGCCTCCAACCCCTGCATCTGCCTAAGCAAGTGCTTTAATCTGCTGAGCTATCTGGCCAGCCCAAACATGAGAAGATTTCTTTTTTTCTTTTTTCGGGGGGGGGGGGGCAGGCTCAGGCTGCCTTAAGGGCAGGTCTGGTGCAGTCTGAGTTTGCCCAAGTAGATGCTTTAAACAACTGAGCTAACCCACACACCCCCTTTTCAGAGTCTTCGAGTAGGCAAAAATAGCTCTCTTATCAGTGTCATGTTTTCTTACAATCCTAAAGCTAGTACAAGGATAAAAAGGAAAGGACAAAGTTGAACAAGTACAGTAAGAAATCTTGGGAAACTGGGAATGTACTGAGTGTTAGGACACTTCCCTAGCATGCCTAAGGCCCGTTTGAACCCGTACTGAGAGAGAGAGTGACAGACAAGCATGCACACATACGTGCACACACAATGATATAGCTAACAAGAGGGACAGACAGATAGAGACTTGCCATGTGAAAGTCTTAAGTAGGTTACATATTTTAACGTATCCGTATTGCTTCAGCATTGTTCACTGTGCCTTAAGAGCCAACCCATAAAGTTCATTGCAGTAAAATTCTGTTCACATTATATCACAGTATACATTCCTGGCCCCAAATATGAATTCCCACATAGTTTTTTCTTGGAATATATATATATATATATATATATATATATATATATTCACATAGCTTTTAAAAGTTACAGGCCCTTTTCTGTGATTTTATTAACTAATAGAAAGCTAAGCAAATTATTCTTCCCAAATCTATGTTGTAAGCTAGACTGATAGACATTAGGCATTTTTATTCCTTTAGAATTGTTTCAGGGATTGATACCTCTACTGTAAGTCTTATGTGACAGTCCTTAAAGACATTACAGTCAAACTAAGACTCAGCAAAAGGATCAGCCCACAGGAATCTCAGTTCCTGAACTCCAGGTCCTTCCAGAGAACTCTCACAAGAAGGAAAATAAGACAGGAACTTCATGTCTTGATTATCTGTCATATGCAAGACCACCTCTCAACTTGATGTCTTCTGTAATCCCCTTAGTAACTCCTCAAGGTTAATGATGCTCTCATTTTACACATACGGTCAAAGTAGGCAAAGTGACTTTGCAACAGTCATCAAATGTATTTGACTATGTGGCTTATTTCATGTCAAGCACCAGCTCTACTATTCACTATCTGTGCCACCTTCACAGATATTTGAAGTTCTTATGCTCCGCAATCTGGGGGATACATCATCCATTTAGTGTACTACTGTAGTATAGTCATCTCTGTCACTTTGTCTCCTGAATCCTGCCTTCTGTGCCAGGTGATATTTTGGATGCAAACATGGTATATGAGGATGCTCCAGCAGACCTTCTGTTCTGAGAAGTAAACACAAATAACAAGGAAGCAAAATAATATGTGGTATCTATAGGTAATGAGGACAGTATATTAGGATACATGATTAAGAACAGAGGGGAGGGGGCTGGGAAAATAGCTCAGAATAAGTGCTTGCCTTCCAAGCGCAAGGGCCTGAGTTCAATCCCCGGTTCTGAAAAAAAATAAAAAAAGAGAGGATGGAACAAATTAGTTTGAGGAGAGGTCTCTGAATAGTGGCACTTTGGCTGTGAGCCAGCTTCAGCTTATGGTTGTGCTGGGTTTGAGGTCACTGCTGTTGTTATCATTGTTAGTTTCTTATTCCTCTCTGTGCAGGCAGTACACACCTTATACTTTGTTTTCTGGATAGATTGGTGTGATCCCCTTTAGCCCTGGGAAGCTATAGTACTTGTGGTATAGAGTCTGAAATGCCTGATGTGTCCAACTCAGATCCAAGTATAGGGTTAAAGTCCCTTGAACAGTTTAAGGGCAGGACAGCTGGCGGAAAAAAGTCTGAATAGCTTTCCTAGCAAGAACCCTACCTAGGGCCAGCCAAAGACATGCGGTTTCTATGTGCAAGGAGACAGAAAGAGAAGTGAGGCCACTGTTTGTGGAAATGTATCCTTGGTTGCACTTGTTTTCTGAGAGGAGTGTTGTGAACCTGACCCTGCTAAATTACAAAATAAGAAGAAAATTATGAATATATATCCATCTGTGTGACTTATGTGGCTACTATTTTCTTAGCTAGTAGATTCCTCCTTGCTCAGTCTTTGTTGCTACAAGCCCCTAGATTTCTATTCACAAGTTCTTTTGATAGACTTACACAAAAGCAAGGGTGCAGGCCTTTTGGGTGCCAATTTCCTATTCTCAGTGTTCAGAGAGAAGAGAATAAAAGAGAAATTTGGAAATAAGATAATGTAAGGTTTAAATTTTTTTTCTTTAACTTTGTAAGTAGTGTTACATATAAATGTACTGATAAAACAAAGTATCCACCAGCCATAGAGGATTTAAGAATATTTTATATGTGCTAAGGAGATAGTTCAGCAGCATAAGCACCTGCCTGGCAAGTGTAAGGTACTGAATTTGTTCCTTGATACCCCCCACCAAAAGAATACTTTATATGTGATACATGGACTGTTTTTTAGCATTTGTTTCTGACACATATTAAATATATTCATCATGACAGACTTTAATCACTTTTGATAATGGTTACACAAATTCTTTCAGTGACAGGTTTTTTTTAAAAAGAAATATTTTATTTATTTATTTGGTGCAGAAATCTCGCTACACAGCTCAGGCTCATACTGATCCTCCAGTCTCAGGCTTCCCAGTGCTAGCGTTACAGGCTTGCACCACCATGCCCAGTTTCAGTGGCCAGCACAGTGTACCCAGGGGTCTGGGACCAGCACAGTATGTGGTACTGGGAATCAAAAACCCAGGTCCTTGTGCTTGCCAAGCAGGTGCTTAGACCACTGAGCTATTTCCCCAGCCTGGTGGCAGGTTTAATGTCAATCTTTACCATTATAGTATTGCAACAATGGATGTCCTGATAACTGGGAAAGATACAAATTCTCTTTCCTTTGGCTTCTGTACCTTTACAGTCTCAATGGAGTACTAATGATGTTGGTTCCTCTAGCGTTAAATATGCAAGTTAGGTTAGCTATCAGAAGAAACTTGGTGCCCCTGAGTACCTAGCAGCATTGTCCTTACAAAATAGAGCTGCTAACAGTTTTCCTTTTTCTAGAAAGAGGAAAACGAACTGAACTGGTAGGGTTTCTAGCATAAATGTTGTTCAGAGGCTTGACTGTTTTCTTCAAAGGAATGTGGGTTGCTTTTTTTTTCTTAATCTTCCACTAATGCAGTGGTGGATTTTTACATTACTGTGTTACCAAAAGGAGTAAATGGAAACTTTGAAACTTGACATTAGAGTATCTCAAAAAAGTAACAGATTTTAATACACTGCTTGTTTTACTTTATTCTTTTTGGTAATTCTTTTTACATTTTTGACATAAATATATACTCTTCAATTATCTGAATTTAAAAGTTACAAAGATAAATTCCAGAGTTCCAATTTTCAACTCTGAATAAATGAAATAAATCAGCCCAACTAATCTGTTCAAAAATTGGGCCATTATTTGTTCTCTGAAGGAGAAATTTCAGATTATGCTGTCAAGTTTAGCAATTGATAAAACCAGCCTCAGTTTTAAAGATGCTTGTCTTCTTTGGAGAGATTCCAGTAGGCAGTAGTGTAGTAGTGTTATTGTTTGTTTGTTTCATAGATTTAATTGCATTCCCAAGTTTTTAATTAATTAATAAAGCAATCTCAATTTTAATGTGAATAAGCAAATACCTTCATTAAACACATTAATTTGTAAGTAAAAGGAATTGCTTTAGCAGTGTACTTTTAAACATATATTTGTTGTAAATGAAGGAGAGTTCTGCAATCTACACAAATGAGTTAATTTGAATTTTACACATAATTATTTCATGCTTTTTTTAAAATAAGGGTTTACTATGTTCTCTTTTCTATCTGATAAACAAGTCTCTGTATTGTAGCATGTTGAGCAGTGATGTCACCTTTATTTCCATAAATGATGTTAGGGATGAAAAATTGAGTAATAGTATTTTAAGACTAATTTAACATAGTATAGGTTTAGACAGATCAACCAAATCATATTAGAGGCCAAGATGTCAAATACTTAACCTCTACCAATGTATGTTTTTTTTTTTTACAGAGACAGATGATTATGCAGAGATTATAGATGAAGAAGATACTTACACCATGCCTTCAAGTAAGTAACTTCTCTTTTCTTTCTTGCTCAGATTTGACAGATAGTACCTCATATATAGAAGTTTTAGATACTCATCCTTTGAGAACCTCACTGAGTGCTTAGGCAAATGTTCTTCTCAGCCTTTAGAATTCTGTATGTGTCCAATTTAAGGTGAGAAGTCTAAAACACAAATGTCTATAATAATTAATACGGATTAAGTTGTAAGATTTTTGTAATCTTATTTTTGGCTCTGTAATAATATTATTTTCACTGTTGAAAATGAGTGCTATTTAAAGTGTACACACACAAGAAGTACATTTCTCCCTTGAAATTATTCATTTCTGTCACTGACTAACCAATATACACAGCTCCTACCAATAGAAAAGGCTTTAGTCTTTACATTCTAGTGGGAAGAGGGTGGGAACAGATCCCTTAGACAGTCCCCACAAGGCCTGAAAATACCAAGGTACTTTTTTTTTTTAATCTTTTTTTTATGTTACGTATTTAGTACACAGTCTACAGGGTCTCACTACACAAATCAGACTCGTAGTGATTCTCCTGTTTTCAGTCTCTCAAGCGCTGGGATTATAGTGGCATGCCACTACGCCCAGTCTCAAGTGCTGTCTCAGCATGCCCTGGGAGTGGGGTCAGCACAGCACACTGGGGATAAAATCCAGGTTCCTGAGTCTGCCTGAGCAGGCGCTTCAATCTGCTGAGGTATCTGGCTGGCCCTTAAGGTACTCTTCTTGCTATGACAGTGCAGCTTGCTGGCAGAGGAGAATCTGGATGCCCCAGATCTTGAATTGGATACGCTCTTGAAATTTCATGTTATATCTCTCTTAAAGAAATTTCACAATTCTTAGTAATTTGAATGTGTCAATTTCATATTTCAGTAGAGCTAACCATTTTAAGTTATTATATAAATATACTTTAAAAAGTATTATTTGGATTTTCTATATACAGTAAGACATAATCAAAATAAAGAGAAAGAACCAGGCCTCTAATGCGTTTTCCTGATTAAGCCCTTTTTGGGCTTTTAAGAGTCCTTTATCAGAGAGTGAGTGCAACCCAGGCAAGATTTACACCTGAGTGTATTGTAGCAATTTGAAAAACTGTTTAAACTTAGGTTTTAGTTTTAGGTTTTTTAAGGGAGGAGGTTAATTAGCCATTTAGTCATTTGTACATTCCTGCAGAAAATCGGTATTTGTATTTGTATATTGTTCCTAGTTGAATAGTAAAATGCCTAACAAAGCTACCAGGTCCCCCCAAAATGAGTTATAAAATAGGACTTTTAAATATTACCTAAATATTATTAGTTAGCTAAAGAATAGCTTTTATTTGTGTTTAGTTCTCTTTTTTACTCATGTCTGTACTTAAAATGTTTAATAAAACATTAGTGAAATGTGCTCTCTAATTTTGTTGTTGTTAACCTAATTGCTATTAGTTATTTCTAAGCAAGGTCTTCAATTTTTTTCTCTCAATTGCAATACAGAAAGCTATGGAATAGATGAAGGTAACAGGATTCCTTTGAAATAACTGCATTTGCTTGCAACTGCAACTGGAGTGATTTGAGATTTTTCAGTTTTCAGTAACTTTTATTTAAAATTATTTGTCATTGATTTACTCATTCTGTTAAATCAATGAAATGACTAGCTAAAGTGATTTTAAAGAGGAAAATAATTATATAAAAATCTAGGCCAGATATTCAGTCATCTTTTAATTTGACCACCGAAGGGAAAGTTTAAATATGTGATCACTGGTTTATTTCATTGGTGATTATACTAATGGAATACAAGCAATATGAGTTATGGGGATAAGAGTCTTACTTGAAATAAAATATCATGTAGTTAATTGAATCTATTATGTTGCAAATGGGTATTTTCTTTCTTGTGCCTCAACAGTCTGTTCAGCAATTTATTTTTATGTAACTCACAATTTAATATATTAATTTGAGGCACATGCTCTCAAGAGTTAATGCTGATATGTTCAACTTTGATTTGACATCATCTAATTTTGAAATTAGATTTTAGAAGCTACCTCTTTAAACTCTTTTAGCTCCATAAGTAATCTAGAGATAGGATTACTGTAAGTGGAAAACTCTTAAACTTTCAAAACATAAAGTTCACTCATGACACTATTTTATGTCACCTCTATATTTACAAACTTCATTTTTAAAATAACTGCTTTAATTGATTGTCTTTATAACCTTAATGTATTTATTACTAAACTGATAGTTCTTATTAAGCATATAATACTTGACGCAGTTATTTCGACAGCTATTAGGTAGATATGAAATAAGTTAGACGTTGAAAGACTCTTAGCTACAGCATGAAAAATATACCTGCCTTTCACAGAATCCATTGTTTTGGTTGTCTGTCCAATACTATAAGTGATACAAAAATTCCTTTTGAAGTATTAAGAGAATTCCACTGTCTTTAAGGGATTTTTTTTTTTTTACTATATCGATATACTTACTACACATGAAGTTTTTGTTAATGGGTGATTTATGTATCAGAGTTGTTTCTGTGTTTGGAATATTATACTTATTTATTGATATATGGATCATATTTTGCAGCCAGGGATTATGAGATTCAAAGAGAAAGAATAGAACTTGGACGATGTATTGGAGAAGGCCAATTTGGTGATGTACATCAGGGCGTGTATATGAGTCCAGTAAGTCCTTTACCACTACTAAAAATTGGGCTGAGGTTGACTGTTTAAGTTTAAATTGTCTCTTATTTGTGTTTTTATGCTATTAGTTCTTCTGGGTCTTTCTTTGAAAACTTACTGTACCTGTCAACTTATTTGGTATGTTCAGAAATCATAAAAGGCAAAATTTGCTCCTGTGGGGCTGGTTCTGTTTTGTCAGGAATAGACTGCATTAGTGAGCAGTCAGATCAAATGACCAGGGTCAATAGGCGTCAATATTCACTTCTACTTCCTGCATCTTCAAGAAGAGAATACTAATTTGTCATGGTTTGCATTGATTATCTGTGAATATGTACAATTCAGTGCATCTTAACTATATTCTAGAGTTGTGCCGCCATCACTGTAGTCAATTTAAGAATATTATATTCACCTCCTCAAAAAATCAGCACATATTAGCAGTTTTTATACTTCCCCAGCTTCTTACAACTCTGCTCATTTTTCTGTTTCCCTCTTCTGGATATTTTAGATAAATTACACATATGTGATATTTTCCTTTTCATTGCCAAATAATGTTCCTTTGTATAGCTATACCACGTTTTGTTTATCCATTCTTCAGTTTTAGATAGCTGGGTTTTTTCTATTTTTTGGTTATTAAAGTGCTACTGTGAATATTCATGTACATGTTTTTAGAATTTTTTTTCTTTTTAATTTTATATATTTGGTGCCAGGTCTCACTATGCAGCTATGACTCATAATGATCCTCCTGTTACAGCCTCCCCAGCGCTAGGATTACAGGCATGCATCACTACTCCTGGTCTTGGTGGCCAGTTCAGAGTGCACAATGCGGGGCCAGCACAGCATGCGGTACCGGGGATCAAACCCAGGTCCATGCACTTAGACTGCTGAGCTATCTCTGCAGCTCCTCATGTACATGTTTTCATGTGGATATAGTTTGTCAATTTTTTTTGTATGTAGTTGGGTAGAATGGCTTCCTTATGCAGTAACTGTCTCCATGTGGTAATAAAATCCTAAGTTTATTTTTTTAACAAACTGCCAAAGAGATTTCAAGCCACTTACACCGTTTTACATCTCTCACAATATCCTCATTAGCACTTGTGTGTCTTTAATTGTTATTAGGTTGGTGATTTTTTTAAATAACATTTTGGAATTAGTACATAATTGCTTAGGAAATTTGTTAAGACGGGGTCCCTCTTTGTAGTGCAGGCTGGCCTTGAACTCACTGTATATCATAGGCTGCCCTCAAACTCTTGACAGTCCTCCTACCTCAGCTTTCTGAGTGCTAGGATTACAGGCATGTGGCATCAGGAGAAAAAACTGGAGTAAAACAGGTATACAAAGATAGTGCTAATAGAGTTAGAACAGCATAAATAATTGATCCTCTTTTGATTTCTCTACTTTGGAAACATCAAACTAGTACCTTCCTAATTGTCTTTTTTTTAATATCCTTTACACGTGTACTAGTGAAAGATATTTTTATAACCAAAAAGTTAAAGAAATTAGTTGTTTTGATTTGTTTTTTTACTGAAGACGACTGATAATTGCTACCATACAGTGACTTAGTAGTAGTAGTTCATTTTTTTTTTTTTTTTTGGTTTCATACACATTTGCTTAATTTAATGCAGATTTTATAGATAGATAGATAGATAGATAGATAGATAGATAGATAGTGGCTAAAAAAGCAAGAAATCCAAAGCAGAAACTCCATGAGGCAAGAAGGCCAAGTGTAGCAAAGAGCAGATAGGAAGGGAGAGGCCGAGCCTGCAGAGAAGTCAAGAGAGCACCCACCGGCAGACATTTCATTCAGGGTACAAGCCACATTCCCTCCTTCCTCAGGGCCCTGAACCATACAACTGGTGACATGAACTCATTAGAAGCAGGACACTCAGAGGAGGTGTGCAGAGAAGTGATGCCTTTGGACTCTAATGCTTCAATCAGTCCCAGGTCAAGTCAGCCCCCATTTCCAATCATCATAAAACACTAGAAGGTTCTGAACAGACAAAAGCACACAGATTCTAGCCACAATCAGTACAGTTGTGCCCTGAGTCCCAATGAGCCTAAGCCAGGTGAAGAACCTGTTTTCTTCCAGGGTAAGCCTTGCTCTGTGTCTCCTATAGTAGTTCATTTTTTAAAGTTCAACTTTAATCGCCTTTATTTTGTGCTTATATCAAATTACTTAAGTTATTATATATTTTTATATTTATCTGCTTTTTAAGGTAAAATTTAGTAAAAGCAGCAGTGGATCTAAATTGAATGGAAAGACCTAGATTTAGGCCTGGCTGTGCCTTACTGCGTGATATTGGAAGGTGAGGCTCTTGACTCTTAAATAATTGAACCAGATGATCTCTGAGCTTCCTTCTACATCTATTGCTGATAAGTAAATTTTCTAAAGTTCCCAGAGCTCAGTGACTGAGTTACACAGCTAATAATAAAAGAGTGGGCCTGTGCCCTTTTGGAGAGTTGGACTTTGTGAGATGATCTGATCAACATTTTAAAAATATCACCATGTCATGTGGAGTATGGATGGCAGAAGGGAAAGTAAACATTTTCATTAAGATTGTAGCAAGATGGCAGTGAAAACAGCAGAATCAAAAATGGCTTCTGGATTGACTACACTGAGCATTGTGTGAATATGGAGTTAATATTAGCTTCCAAAGGGGCAGAACTGTATGGAGATTTATGGTAAGAAATTGGCTTGTATGGTTATGGAGGCTGGCAAACCCCAAGATCTCCATGTGGCAGGCTGAGGACATAGAGAGTTCATGATGTAGTCTGATCCAAGGCTAAAGCCTGAGAAAAAGAGTGTAGTTTAGATCCAAAGGCAGGAAAACACTAGTGTCATGCCTGTCAGGTAGAGAACTTTCCCCTGTGTGAGGCCTATACCCACACCAGGGAGGGTAGTCTGCTTTTCTCAGTCTGCTGGTTTACATAGACTCATTCAAAACCATCCTTACAAAAACATCCGAAGTAAGACTGGTATTATTTGTTGAAACTGTCCTTTCGATTTGATTTGAAACTGTCTCATTGCTATATGTTTATCAATAAAACTTTGAAAAGAAAAGAAAAAATAAATAAAGAAAGAAATGCAAAAAAAAAAAAACAAAACAAAAACAAAGTAATACTGGACCAAATATCCCCAAGACCTCATGGCCCAATCAAGTGGATATATAAAATCACTTTTGTGGTGGGTATCAAGAGCTCTGTTTGCGGCCTTTTTTTTTTTTTTTTTTAAGTACATGTTTGCAGTTCATGCAGTTTACGGTGATCACGGGGAGAGGGTATATATACATATTACAGCCTGTTTTTTTTTAAACCCCTTCCTCTGGTTCCTCAGCCTCTTTTTCATTCTTGTTATCTTAGCTCATATTATGGCATGTAGTGTTTACATTAATTTGGGTTATAGATTCCCACGCATCAGTCCATCTTTATTCCTCGTTTCTCATTCTCTGCCTCCTCATCCTTTGTCCTTGTTCCCTTGAATCACTTCCCTATTGCAAAGATCTATCCCATCATCCTTTTGTATCCATCCTTTATCATTTTCTTGCTTATGCTTTGCCTCAATCATATGAGAGATACAGCATGGTATTTAAGCTTGTGTGTCTGGCTTATTTCTCTCAACATTATATTTTCAAGGTATATCCTTTTTCCTCTAGATGTCTCAGATGTGTCATTCTATATGACCAACTAGTATTCCATTTGGGGAATGTCATTTTTAAGATAACTTGTGACCCTCCTCCAGAGACAACAAATAGATTGGTTCAATATATGGATTTGGACTGAGAGATAGTTGAGACTAGACGGACCAATTTGAAGACCAGTGTTTAAGTGGCGCTTTACTCCTTTGGCAGTAGATGAGATAGCTTAGTAGAGGTGAGACCAGAACTGAACCTAACAATATATATATAGACTTGAAGAAGAAAAGAGATAAAATTTCATCTTTATAAGTCTCTTAATGTAAGTGCCTCCTATCTGTGGCTGGTATGTTGGACTCCTCTCTCACAGTTAATTAGCAAGAGTGCTTCCCAGGGAAGTTGGCCCAGGTAAACCTCATTAATGCTCAAGAAATTAATCATGGGTGCCATTGTAGAGCCACTTCTGACAAGTGGCAGCTTCATCCTGGCTGCAGACACTGTCTCCTGCCTAGAGTGGGTACTGTGTTGCCCTCTATCTCACATTTGTCACAACTGCACGTTGTTCTCATTCATCCTTCAAGCTGCACTCTATAGGGAAGAAGCGTCATGCCCTCAAGCCCCCTACCCTCTGGAATTGAGGTTGCAGAAGGTGAAATGACATCCAAGATTACCTACATAAAGCATACAAATATCTAGACCTGTTGAGATTTAAAAGACACACTGTGCACCCCATTGGGGAACAAATAACTCCATACTCTTCAAAGAAGGTGCAAAGAGAGACAGGCAGATTTTGGACAGCATCATATTCCTTGTCCCTCCAGAACTATACTCTTACCTGGTTGATTTCATCCACATTGCATAATGAGGCTTGGGGAAGATTCTTAGAAAGGAAAACAGCAGCAGCAGTGGAACTGAGAGGACTCAACCTTTCTTAAAACCTTTGTAAATTCCCACTTGTTCTTGTGTTTTTTTGCTTTCATTTGTTTTTTGCCTTCATAACACAGTATGAGGCATCTTATAAAAATACATAATACAATATTACAATATAACAACCATTGTTGCATTCCTTTCCTCTTGTTTAGTGAAATTCTGTTTCTAATGTTTTAATTTATTTTTTATTTTCTTTAAAAAACAAAAAATAAATTACATGTAAAGCAAAGTCTGAAAAATAAATAAAAATATATGATATGAAATAAGATGAATAAGTAGTTCTGGCAAAGATGACATGAACTCCCAGATAAATACAGCACATATAGTTGCTATCCAGATTCATCCATGGATTCTGTTGATAAGTTGTAAATAGCAAATCATTTTTCATATTATACTTCTAGTATATCTTAAATTTGGAACTGAACAAAAGACAGATGTTTTGGCTTCTAGGACAATGCATTTTCTTGGTTTTTCCTCCTGTGTTGAAGGTAACATGTGTCCATTATTTTTTGCTATTTTCCTCTCTCTTTCCCTGGCCACTTCATTATGCAGACCTACAGAGCACCATCATTAGACCTCTGTATTCCCTTGATGATGTCATACAGGCCCATGAACCATGCTACTTCTGTTTCCCATGTCTAGCTCAAGCTTCCTCCTGGATCTTAGACATACTGTCTTGCTACCCACTGTTCCTGGTTCCTCTACTTTTTTTATTGGTGTCCTGTGCTTACCTCCTCCATAGATAAACTTACGATCTTCTCTCTTGCTAGTTTAGTTTCTCTGGCCAAAACCAAAAATTTCTCTTTCACTCAGTCCATCAACTACCACTTTTTCTTACCTTTAAAACATATGCAGAAGCCCATTCCTTCTGTCCGTTGTTGTCACACTTAACCCAAGCCATTATCCTGTCACCCAGGATACTTCCATAATGGCCTGCAGAGCTCCTTGCCAAACCTCCAGCTGTCTCAGCAGAATAGCCAGAATACTCCTTCGAGGTATTGGGTCAGGCCATACACTCCTTTGCCAAGGCCCTAACCTAGGTCTCTGTTTTGCTTATAGTAAAAGCCATGCCTTTGTCCTAACTTCAAAGCCCCACCATTCCCCCAACACCATTATCTCCACCTTCACAAACTCAACACCAGCCCGGTGCATGTGTTTCCTGAGTAAACCATACACATTCTTTTTGTAACTGAAAGCAATTTATCTAGCTTGACCATGTGGCTGGCTCCCTTTCTTCCTTCAGATCCTTGCTATCATCTTTTCTCAGTGAGGCCTTCTTCAGACAGCGGTACCACCTCCACCTCAAATGCCTCTTCATGACACAGTTTGCAGTGTATTATATAATTACTTGTTCTTCACTAGAATAGAAAGTGGACAAGAACAGGGACTGCTACCTATGTTGTATCCACTAATGAATCCCAGGCACATAGATCAGCATCTCCAAGTAGTAGACACTCAGCATTCATGATAGGAGAATGAATGACTCTCTGTGGTGTTGCATATGCATGTCTATTTTTCCTCTGAAGATTTTCTTCAAAATTTAAAGTATTTCAAGATTTTATACTTCTAGCCCTATCTAAAATAAAATCCACAGAATTATAAAGGAAACAGTTTCTCATGAATATGCCTGATGATTGATACAGAGAACCTTTCTGCATGTGTGTGATTCTGTAATTTCCTTAATGCAGGAGAATCCAGCTTTGGCAGTTGCAATTAAAACATGTAAAAACTGTACTTCGGACAGCGTGAGAGAGAAATTTCTTCAAGAAGCCTGTAAGTTTCTACAAATTTCTGTGGAACTCCATATAACTTTCTTTGAAATCCTGTCTGTAAAGAAGAAAAATAATGTTTTTACTTCTTGAGACAACTGCATTTAATTTTCCTTGCAAATTAACGTCCAGATTTTCACTGTCACTACCTATAGATTTTTTTTTTAATGTATAGATTTTTGCCAGATAAATGCAATGTATTACATATAAGGATTACTTTTTGTTTGTACTTTGATAGCTATACCATTAAACATCTTTGTACTAGAATTAGTTAACATATATGAAATTTTTCTAGCCTGGAGATTTTCAGGCCTAGGAACATAGAGATCAGCAAGTCAAACATACTGTCTTTTTGGAGCTCATTGATTACTGAAGGAGTAGTGATTGTGACCAGTCCCCTAGTCCCACTTAAAATCAGAAAGACCCATAAAGAAACTTCAGAAGAGACTTCTTCTGATGACTTTCCAAGTGATTTTTGCTAAAAGTGACTTTCTCCACCTACATTCCTCTGGCTCTTCATTTGGATGTCCTGTGATGAAGCTTCCTTCGATGAGTTATATGTTACCGTGTCTTCTGAGAGTAAACTCATGGAGGGCAAGGATCTTGTGTCCCTACTCTCAGGCTGTGGTGTTCTCCCACTACAGACCTTATCCTTTCCCATCCTGCAGATCTTCTCTTAAACATCACCTACACAGAGAACGCTTTTCTAACCACCACACTTAAAATAGGCCTCTCCTTGGTGTTCTCTGCCATAGGACGACATTGTTTTCCTCCTCAGTATTCAAGATTAAATGTTATGTTATTCACATTGATTATTGTCTGTCTCTCCCACAAGGCCTGATGCTCTAGGATAAATAGTGACTGCTTTGCTCATTGCTCCATACCCATTCCCAACACAGAGCATAACACATGGAAGACACTCAGTAGATGTTGTTATAGGACCTAATCTTGGTGTTTTCACTACACATTTATCCAAATGAATGCCTTCCACTGTTCCATTTTAGTAAATATTTGCCACCTAAGCATCCAACAGATGAATATGGTTTAAATCTTATTGTAACTTCATCGGTTAATTCTGAGTACATCCTTAATTCTGTTTGTGAATCTCTTGAGTTACATATAGGAAAAGGTCTGGCCTATGACTTGTGTCTCACCTCATTTATTTCTACAGTGTGCCTATGCCAAGAAAATACAACATCAATTACTGTTACCCAACTCTATCTACCTTACCTTTGGTAGAATTCTTGTATATAATGTATTTTCAAAATCACAAATTTCAAAAACTTTGAATTTATATTTTTTGTGGGGCATCAATACAGAAGTTAAATTAAGTAGTATTGTAGGAGTAGTTAAGTGAGACTGACCTTGTATTCTTTGGAAGCGTTGCTCAGGCTTTACTTCTGGGGTCTGTAATTGATGCAGTATATATTGGTGCCTCAGTTCAAAAACTTTATTTTTTTTACAATTCCAGTCACAAATGAAATTGGACAAGAACTGAATCAAATTCAGTGGTTAGGTTCAATTGTGACCTGATGGACAAGTATGCTTTGGTTATCCAGTTCAGTTTGCAGTCAGAACCATAGAAAGAATAATTCCATGAACCCAGGTACCACTGAATTTCAACTCCTGTGGGACTTTAGTATGTGTTCATAGGATGTGAGAGATGGCCTAGGTCAGGGTTCATTAGGGTTTTTCTGCACAGACCAGGTAGCATGTTTCCAGAGCTGCAGCCTGTGTATTCTCCATCTCCACTATTGAACTTTGTCCTTGTGCCCTGAGAACAACTTTGAATAGTATTGGCAAAGTCCCCGTGCTATCTGAATCTTCTTTCTGTGGCTTCCCTCCCACCAGCTAGTTGCAGTCTGGTTCTTCCTCCTTCCCCTAGCATTTCACCAGTCAGGAGTGGTTTTTACCATAGAGTGTGTTGCCTGGCTAAATGAATTACACATTCTCACTTTAACATGTTCCAGAGGAAAAATCTCGATAGCCCAAGGTCATCTTGGTTCAGAGGAGAAAAAGAATGTTTTTATTTTTTAGTTTAGTTTTTAAAATAATCTTTTTTAAAGTTAATTGTATTATAGGAAAAAACATTTGTAATCATAAACAGCTTCGCTGGATATTATTCTAAGTCTCATGTACATATATGACATGCCATTTTGTGTGGCTGAGTTTGTACAGTGTGTGTCATGCTGTTCCACACATCATGAATATTCTCCAATTCAAAGTCCCAAAGCTACAAGAGAATTTGACAAGCATGAACACACTACAACAATTCAGTCTGTTAGGAAAAAAAAAAAAAAAATGCGGGGGCTGGAGAGATGGCTCAGTGGTCTAAAGCACCTACTTAGAACAAGCTTAGCAAAACATCAGGGACCGCGGTTCAATCCCCCAGCACCACATGCCA